ATGTTTTTGGTGCTGTTGCAAAATAAAGAAAGATAAGTGAAAAATATAATCAAATACATTGTTATACTATTGCATATAAACAGTCGAGATTAATCATGTCATGCCTTCTATTGAATAGATCAACCTTCCAAGATCTCATTAACTTCATATCTTTAAATAATTGTCTAATTAGCTCAATCTTAGGGTGGCCAAATTGAAACTTATCTATCAAGGTGAACTTACAATTTTCAATAAGATTAGCCACATTATTTTCTAAAAATATGATAATAGGTTCCCCCGCTTTTAGATGCCTTTTCTAATAAGAGGGCAATAAGATTTTTAGATGCCTTTCTAATAAGAGGGAAATTAGCTGTCTACATTAATGGTATTAAATCTAAAATGGTTTGTAAGAATATCAACAAATGAAGTGTTTAAACAACTCAAAGCTTCCTCCCTAGAGGAAGGAAGAATTAAGTTCTTATCCAATTGAACAGTAACTACAATTTCAAAATGCAAAAGACTTGAGAAGATTGAAAACTCCAATAGGTTACCCAAAATAATAAGGAAATATTAAAAGTAAGTAAAAAACTAAGAGAATAGATTGCAACAAGTCTCACGATCCCTTTCATGGATCAGCGAAACACTAGGAGCTGAGAGAGGAGCGCCACCAGCACCACTGCAAAATTTGCCAAATATATATATATATATATATATATATTATTTTTAAATTTTTTTTATAAGAAAAGCCACCTGAAAGAGGCACTTCTTTTGTTATTTATTTATTTTTTTCTCTTTTCATTTTTTTTGTTTTTTTAAACATGAAAAACATAATAAACATGCAATCAAACATGAATGACATGCAATAATGTAACAGAACTTGAAATAACACAATAAAACATGGAGACTTGCATAAAATAACATAAATATAGCCTTGATTAAACTCAGGTTTATGGCTAAACATGGGTCAACCAATTTAATTTGGGTAATTCTGATAGATGTTTTGGGGTATTTGGGTTATTTGAGTAATTCAGGTTATTTTAAGTCATTTGGGTGGTTTCAGGTTATTTAAGATCATTTAGGTGGGTTTGGGGTGTTTTGAGTCATTTGGGTGGTTTTAGCGTATTTCGAGTCATTTGGATGGTTTCAGATTGTTTCAAGTTATTTGGGTGTTTTCTAGGTGTTCGGTTTCTAGGTGTTTGGGTCTTTTAGATTTAAGTTGGACTAGACCTAAGCTAGGTTGGATCTAAGTTGGCTCAGGTTTAGGTTGGGTCAGAGGCCTGCTAGGTCAGGTCTAAGCTTGGTCAAATCTATGTTGGTTCAGACCTGGGCTAAGTTTTAGGGTTTAGGTTAGTCTGGGCTAGACTTGAGCTGGGTTGGGTCGGGTTTGGGTTGGTTCAGACCTGGGCTAGGTTTAGGGTTTTTGTTAAACCATTTTAGGGATTAGAATTAGGTCGGGTTCAGGTCGACTTGAGTCAAACCTTAACCCAAGTCTAATCCAAGGCTATTGAGTTGACCTATACTATATTTTTTTACTCAAATGCTTAAATTAAAACCCCTTAATTTAAAAAGAAAAGAAAAGAGGGAAGACTTACACAAAGTGTCGGCTAACCAAAGACTGGAGAACTGGTTTGAGGCACTCTCCACTTGGTTCAGAGTATAAAGATACAAGTGTGTATTTTTGTGCATAGAGAGGGATAAATAATTTCCTTTTATAAGCAACGATGGTTGTTCTGAGCCGTTGATCAGATGAGAATTGAAAGTCTGCATTACTCTGATAATTTTAACAATCGTCGACAGTTGTAAGATATTTTCAATCGTCTGATCTAGTTGGCGGCGAGATGAGGATATGTGGACAAATGCTACAGATCGGTGACACAGAGTTAGGGGGAGTGGCCATGCCTAGGATGGGACTAAGCATGGTCACAACCCAGGCATGATGTGACCACGCCAAGCCAAAAGGGCACAAAGTGCTACTTTTAAAAGTTCAGAGGCACTAAGACAATTCTGGAAGCTCCATATGCCTTCAAAAGCTGCATGTGACCCAAAAAAGAAGTCAATAAAGACATTTGATTCTTATATTAACTGGAAAACTATTACATTTTAAAAAAATGAAATTAAAATATCAAGCCCACCAAAACTAAATTAAGATGCATTAATTTAATTAATTAAAACCACATATAGGAAGATCAATTGTGAACTCTATATTGGCCAACTCAACAATGAAACTTAGAATCATGCATACCCTTAAAATAGTCTAGTCTAGAAGACTATGTCAGATTACTAGATACCTCAAGTTAGCGTTAAGGATTATGACATATAAAAACCGATACCTACGCCCCTTTTGACTATGTAGGTGACATAAGATGTAGTAACCCAATGTTACTAAAATAGGAACCCTTAACCACCTATAATTAAGAAGGACTACACTCATCATCGGTATGACAATATGGATGTCCTCTTACTATTTGATTGGTTAATTGTCTTAGGCTATTGATTAACCCAAGATGACAGAAAATTATGTATATCTTGACTCGGAACATCATTCCAAAATTTATGTTATTCCACATATCCAGACTCCTTATAATGTCTAGATTTTTCTTCGGGCTAGGCTCTCAATTTACAACTAGAAACTTTTTAAAGGTTTGGATCAACCTTCAAATCAAACCTTCAAATTAACCTTCAAGTTAAAGCCTTCAAAATCAAACTTTTCAAATTCAAAATTTTCTAAGTCAACCCTCTTCAAATCAAACTCAAAACTTTTCAAAATCAAAACTTTCCAAATGAAATCATTCGAAACCAAAAATTTCCAAATCAAAACTTTCAAAATAATATCTTTCAAGTTAAATCTCTTATGTCAAACTTTAATAATTTTTCAATCTCAACCCCAGGGTGCACTTTCTTCTCAAATTTGATTAAACCTTTTCTAGGTCTTTTCATGACACATCATTATTGAACTATAAGTTATAACCTTTAAAATCTCAAAGTACCAATATTTGAGACGTCCAATATTGAAATCCTAAATAATATTAGCCAAAAATTTAATCAAGATCTTAGGAATTTATAACTGTTATGATGTAATTAACTATGACGATTTGCCCTTATAGAGATACTAGATCCTATTATAAAATAAAACCTATCTTACACCCCCAAGGTAGGAGAAAAATATCCTGTTAATGAATATTTAAAAATCCTAATGATTTTCATCATATGAATGATAATATCTATTTTAAGGTAATAATTCTGCCTCTTAAGGTAATATAATTTTCATCGAATGACATATCCAATCATTTAGATAGAAATCATTCAAGATCAATGGTGGACACGAACAAAAACAACAAATAAACACCAAAAGAGTTATTTGGTTGGATCTATTAATATTCTTCATAAGAGTCTTTGGAAGAAAAATTTCTTCCTGATGTAACTTCCTCTTCTCTAGTGATTCTAATTCAAAAATTTATACTATAGCTTGGTCTACTTTAATTAAACCCAAAAATTATTTCTGACTTGGTTTGTCAAATATTGACACTATAAAATTGATGAGCAAATCTAAACTTTTCCAGGGCATTTTTAATTCTTTCTATCCTTTGACAAATTGGTGTACTAACCACCATGGTTGTTTATGGATTTAACATAAAAAAACTTATTTCCACTTTTTGGAAAGAACTAAGCAAAGTGGCTGTAGAATTTGTGATTCCTTAAAATTTTATATTACCTGGAGTAATAACTTGCTTTTCTCTTTTAAACCTTGGCTAAATGGGTATTCTCTTTTTAGAATATTTTGTCACATATCTTTAATTGGTTTAATTTACCTTCTTTAACATTCATTAGTGAAGTTACTCATAATAGTTCTTAGTCTTTCTCTAATCTGAACAATATATTAGATATTTGCTTGAGAGAAATTCTTAAAGTGTCTATCTCTGATAATATGTTGGCTGCTCTTTGGAAAGATTTAAACTCTTACTCACAAAAGCATATTTATAACTTTTCTTGAGGCGTTTTCATTATTATTAGTAGGGGTAGTTACATTTGGTATAAAGGTCACTCTTTAAAGATTACGATTACAACTTGAAATATATTGCTTAATGGGCAGAAGACTTGTGATATTTTGAGGATTGAGGGACTATTTTGGTAAATAGTGTTTATGTTCTTTGTTTTATTCTTGAAGATACACACAATCACTTATTTTTGAATGCAGTTTTTCTCATTTTCTTTTAAAAAGACGTGTTTCTAAGGGAAGCTTTTTTATGGTAAGTGGAAATATGCATCACATGCTAGGTTTGTTTACAACTTTTCTTTGAAGATCAATAAGAAATTATCCTTACTTGCTTTTAATCTTACGACCCGTTTCATTTGGAGAGAAAGGAATAACAAAATTTTTAGAAATTCATTTATTAGTATGAAAGACTTATCTGTAATATTCATTGGGCAGTTAGGTTGAAAAGTAGAAAGTGGAAAGGTATTGATCCTCTTCTTATAAAGGATTTAATATATTTCTTCTTTTTTTTTCCTTGATGACAGAGAGTATTCTGTTTTCCTTATTATCTTCACTTATTCTGGATGGTTCTTCTCCCTTTTCTTTGATTGGGTGTTAGTCTGGTTTGGACTAAATCAAATATTTTATTTAATCTTTTGAAGATTTTATGGTTTTATGGGAATATTGGAGGGAAATAACTTAATACACTATAATTTTCTAGTAATTTTTTCTGTTCGGATAGTTGGAGAAATTTGGTTTGCTGGAAGTTGTTGCTTCTTTACTATATTTCTTCCTCTTCTCTACTATATATCTCCTTTGTCTCATTGGATAGCTAGTGAAGTTTAGTTTGCTGGAAGGACATCCCTTTTATTATTAGATTTTTCTATTAAAATTTAATTTAATTGTTGAATAGCAAGTGAAGTTTCATCATTCAGGGGAGGTTTTACTTTCCTCATGTTGAACATATACTTCTTTCTTAATCTTTTGATATTTTATATGCTTTACTTCTAACCAGATATAGAAGTACTATCATTTTGGAATTATTGTATTTCTTTTCGTCGATGAATTCCTCAAGTAGTTGTTGGCTGGGTTTTTTGAGCTTGTCCTCGTTTTTCGCTTTTTTTAAAGTGGCCAAGTATTGTTTTTCCTCTGTATCTAATTCAGGTTTGGTTTGATTAATCTTTATGAAGGCTTTTACTCTACTGAAAGATACTACGTTTTCTCTGATGTGCCGTTATGTTTGCTTCCTCGAGATTGTTATAAGATTGTCAATTTTATGGCTAGGGTGCGGCGAACGGCAGAGACCGACAAGGAGAGAAATGCGGAGCTGTTCTAGTTGTGGTACTATCTCATGCTCAAGCCTATACTTACCCTTTTTCTTTCCTCATTTCCAGAATCCTTCTTTCTTCTTCAAATCAAGGAGGCCGTACACCAAAACCCTAAACCCTTTTCTGTTGCCCTCTAAAAATCTCTCCACTCCCCTTTCCTTACCTTTAAGACCCACTCCTTTGTCTAAAGTATCACAAGTTCTCTTTTCATCTACCGGCAATGGCAAGGAAACTGAGATTGAGCTACTCGGCAAGCCATCTCTTATCTCTATCCCCGAAGAAGAAGCCCCAGAGTCTTCGAAATCCGTTCATCTCGACGATGCTTTGGCCCCTTTCCTAAAATTCTTCAAGGCCAAAGATTTGGATGGACAAGACCAATTAGGCCAAAAGAGCCAAGCGTCACTGGGTAGAGAAATATTGAAGGAGAAGGAAAAGCTAGATGAGAGAACGAGAATTGGAGTGGAGTACTATGACCCAAAACCTGGTGATTTGGTCGTTGGAGTGGTGGTATCGGGGAATGATAATAAGCTCGATGTTAACGTTGGTGCTGATATGCTGGGCACGATGCTTACAAAGGAGGTACTTCCCTTCTATGATGCGGAACTGGCTTATCTGTGCTGTGATTTGGGAAAGGAGGCGGAGGATTTCATGGTGAGTGGGAAAATGGGGCTGGTGAAGGATGAGGTGGCGATGGGTGCAAGAGAAATGTCAGGAAGGTCCGCTGTGGAAATGGGTACAGTTCTTTTCGCTGAGGTTCTAGGTCGAACGCTTAGTGGGCGGCCACTACTTTCTTGCAGGAGGATGTTCCGCAGGGTTGCATGGCATCGAGTGAGGCAGGTTCTATCCTCTCTCTCTCTATAGTTAAGCAATTTAAACATTCATAACCATTCTTGTAAAACAATGCGAATAATTTTTAGCTATGTTGGATTTCTATTTGTTCATTATGCCTTAGGCTGAAGTGTATGGTAGAAGTTTTTAGGGAATATCATTACGCTAAAGAATGAAATTGGTTCATATATTTTTGTCATTGCTTATTCCATGTGTGGTACTCTTGTGGGAAAGTTATGCTAACATTTCGCACTTTTGAGAAGGCAGGTATGTTACTAAGTTTTTGATTATTTAAGTCTAGAGCATTTTTTTCACTCTAATTGCCACAGCTGCTGCTATGCCTTGCTTTCTCAACCGCTTAGAGATAGCTGAGAGGAGATCTTAAACTTCCTCCCATCTAATGTGGGAGAACTTAGTTGCCTGTTGATGATCCAAAAGCTAAATTTCGGCAGCCAGAAGTTTTGCGAGAAAGCATGAGAATTTTACCTAATTATCTTACATCCATTGGGGCTGCACACAAAAAAAAAAAGAAAAAAGAAAAGAAAAAAGAAAAAAAAATGAAATGAAGAAAAAAGAAAAAAAAATGAAATGGAAGTATAAAAAAAAGTGGTTTATTTAACCATTTTATCCATTCATCTTAATGGAATTACAAACATTTTCCTCCTTTAGTGGACTCTTAAGTGCTACCATTGCATTCTTATTATTATGAATCATACCCTTTATCCTCGAAGATTTTCAAAGTGGGGGATTGCAAAATCGTATAATTTGGTCCTACATCAAAGGGGTCTTGAAGCTAAAAAAGAATGCACTTAGAAATACATCGAAGAAAACAATGGATAAATTTGATTGCTTATTACTTTTTTCATTGTTGAATATAGATATTCAATGCATATTGAATACAAATATGTTGGAAAAAGGCATTTTCTATCGAAAAATTCTTATTATTGGCCAGATTTCCCAAAAAGATATGGTTATGCTTTCTAGGATCCCATAATTTAGGTTTTGATTTGATTGTTGTTATTGGCTGAAAATTGGAAATTAATCGAACAACATTGCATAAGATCTGTTTCTTCTAAATGGCTGTCTGTGAGTGGATTCTTTCTTGCGGAAATCAACAACTTTTTTTGGATATTTAAACCATGGAGGAGAATCCTAAATCATAAGAGTAGTTATTATATGAGGGGATCCCACCACAGCCAGCAAGATAACCATTAATGGAAGAAGAAATCATACTAAATATGGATTATATTTGAATATGTTTTCTATTTTAATTATTAGAGGGCATATTGGGAGTTCCTATTTGTTCTTCAAGTACCTAATTTCATAAAGTTATACACTTGCAACTGCAATTTAGAAAAGATTAATTTCTTTTCTAATCAACAAATCAACTTATATACATATTTTCTCCCTTGCAAAGCTCTTATATGTGATGTAAGTTTACCTTTTCTTTTTCTCAACTCTATTCAAAATGAAGCTTAGTTGTGTACCTTACCTATAGAGATGGAAACAATAATAATTAGTTCATATCTTTTATTACTCGTCATTAAGTCCAAGAAACGACACCTTCATTTAAGTGTTAGTTTCTTTGAGTTGATTCTAAAACTGGTCTTTAAGATTCTACTTGCTTAGAGAAAGAAAAAATTAGAATGGCTGACAAGTGATGTTTCTGCTTTGACTACAACCTAAAAGAATTCTCAATCTCTTTCTTGAACTGGCTTTTGGACTGAATTCTTACATATCCTATAAATTGTACATCGCCTTCTCTGTGAAAGAGCTCATATCTTTTTGAGAAAATAGAAATGGAGCATTGTCATTAGTGCCTAAAGTAAGTCATTGCTTGAATTTTCTTTCTTTTCTACTTCTTGCACTTCTTGTAAAGTAAATACATGATGCAATGACTATATATATATAAATAAAGGAAAAGCTAACTTTTTTATTGATTTGTCCACTCGAGTATACAAAAGGGTCAAGGACTTTCTTTTTACCAACCAATTTAAGAAAAAAGAAAAGCCTAGGGATATTTGTGTTCATTTTTTTGAGAGTTTCGTCCTAAGAAAGATCTATGATTTTGTCAAAGCTTCAAACTTATAATGGTTTTGGGTGAACTTAGCCGGCTTGGTGGAGTTGAATAACTAATTTGGAATACCTTTTAAATAAGTTCATGGGGTATTGCTACTTAACAATGATTGAGATCTCAAATCTCTAATTTGGATTTTTGACTAACTACTTTATGTTTTCCTTTGAAGCTCTATAATTTATTGAATGTATCATGCATCGACTTTTTGGTCTTTTAACTTTGACTAACCATGATCTTTAAAATAATTATTTTTTTACAAGGAATTATAGAGTTTGAATCTCTCTTCTTTTGACTTCTCAGAAAATTTTTTTTTGCTTGCTTGGCTTCTCCTCTTTTTTTTAATGGGAATGACATGTTTTATGTTGCGAGAAAGATTGTCATCTTAGTTTAGGTCATTAGTTTTACTTAATGAAATGTTAAATTGGCCCATGTATGACTCATTTTTTGGATAAGCCCTAAAATAGAGAAGGAAAAAGGTTTTCAACTTATTGGCTACCATTACAACTGTAGAGTACATATTTCTTCCTTACCCAAAGTTTTGTGTGTCAGCTAGCCAACAATTTGATGTTGAAATTCCAACTTGGGTATGAATGATTTGGAAAGTTCTCTGACAGTAATATTTGTCTGACACTGAGAAATGCTAGCCAATAATGTTGGCTTTCTTTCTATGGAATCACCCTTTAAGGAAGTTCATCTATCTGAGACACTGTCGGCACTAAAAAGTAAGAAAGAAAGGTTGTTTGGGGGGTCGCCCGTAAGAAGCTGTCGGCAGCCGGAATTGAAATCCCATCGCCCGCTTCGGAAGGAAAATTTAATTTACGTATATATATATATATATAT